GATTTCCACAAGCGGGAAGTGCGAGAAAAGAAACAGCATCAAACTTACGGCTATATCTAGCCAACTCAACTGTAAATTGACGAGAACTTGAAACTGAAGATACCTAATTGTCATTTCGTATATAATTTCTAAAAACTGTAAATGCTATCATTTTATGCTGAATTTCGCTCAAAATGATAAACGAAGTATATGTGAAATGACTGAAAGAAGTGGCTGTTGGAAGTGAAGATTATGAACTTATATGTTAAGATTATTGACCTGTATGTTATTTGTTCTATTAAGATTGTTTACATGAGTGAAAGCCTGCTGACAACCCTATATTTGTTCTGTTTTTGTTTTTCAGAATCTTTTTGGATGAGTAAAGAGTTGCCTCTGGTCATCTGTTCTGACACTACATCTTTCTTCCGGTAATTTTGATTTTGCCGAACGCGTTCATACTGTAACGTGTTGAGATTATTCAACCAATAACCGTGGATCGCATTAGACGCTGATGCTTTCCAATTGGTTAATTTTTGGAGCGTGATTTTTCAGGGAAATTTATTTAAAAATATCCTTTCATCTTCTTCTATATCCAGATTATTTTTTTCTGTTTCTTTTGTTAACCATTCCGGTGCTTTGTGGTGTTTCTTTGCGCAACTTCAGATTTAATTCCTGAAGTTGTTTGTACCTGCAATCTTTGGTTTTATGTTTTCTTTCCTTATATTTTTATATCTTCATAAATTGTGTTTCGTTGTTTTTCCAAAGTTCGAGGTTTCATAGAAAGGATAATATTGGAGATAATGTACTGCCAAGTGACTTCTTACTGTAAATATCTCATCAACACTCTCAGGGATTTTTTTTTACTTTATCTCTCTTTATTTTATATCGGATTTTTCCACTCTCTTCAGAAGATCAGGAACTGCTTTATACGCGCTAGTATTCATGAGTTACTTTCATATTCGGCAAGGTTTTCTATTTTCTCTCTAAAGCTTTTTTCGTCTTCTGCTTCTTCTAATTCTTTTTCTCCTCCTCCTCCTCCTCCTCCTCCTCCTCCTCATCATCATCATCATCATCATTATCATCATCATTATCTTCTTCCTCTTCTTCTTCTTCTTCTTCTTATTATTATTATTATTATTATTATTATTCCACATCATTCTTTTTTATTTTCATCTTTGTCTTTTCTCTAGGTTCTCCACTTCCTTCTTCCTCTTCTTCTTCTTCTTCTTCTTCTTTATTCCACGGCTTCCTTTTTATTTTGATCTTTGTATTTTTCTCCACCCACTTCTCCTCCTCCTCCTCTTCTCATTTTTCCCACTGCATTCCTTTTATTTTCATCTTTGTCTTCTTTTCTCCCGCTTCTAATCCTCCTTCTATTCTTCTTCTTCTTTCCAACGTATGCTTTTTTATATTCATCGTTGTCTTCTTTTCTCCTCATTCTCCTCTTCCTTCTTCTTCTTCTTCTTCTTCTTTATTCCACGGCTTCCATTTTTTATATTCATCGTTGCCTTCTTTTCTCCTCCTCCTTCTTCTTCTTCTTCTTCTTCTTCTTTTCAACGTATCCTTTTTATTTTCATCTTTGTCACCTTTTATCCTCCTCCTTCTCTTCTTCTTCTTCTTCTTCTTCTTCTTCTTCTTTCCAATGTATTCTTTTTATTTTCATTATTGTCTCTCTTTCTCCTCTTCCTACTCCTCCTTTTTTTATCCCCTCCTTTTAATTTCATCTTTTGCCTTCTTTTCTCCTGCTTTTCCTTCTTTTTCTTCTCTTGCTCTCTCCCTTCTTCCTCTTCGTCTCTCCACTTGATTTTTCTCTTCTTCTTCTTCTTCTTCTTCTTCTTCTTCTTCTTCTTCTTCTTCTTCCCATTTATTTTCACGTTTCTCTTCTTTTCTTCTCATCCTCCCCTACTTCTTCTTTTTGGTCCCTTACATCAGCCCATATTTTATAACATTTATTGAATATGCAGCGACAACGTTAGTTTAATATTTAACCTCTTTAATATACTGTAGTGATGCAATCTTATTTGTCTTTCTTAGGCTTTGACACCAATATAACTGATAGTTTTCATTGTAGATCAAGTGACAGCATGCCTCTCCAATATCCCAGTATTCCCATCTACGAAAGATGTCAAGAGCCATGATCGCCTACATCCTGAATGAACACGACACACAAAAAAAGAAGATATTAGCAATTTGGTTATAATGTTGACAATGTTATTAGATTTGTAACTTATTTTTACTGAAAATACCAATTATACAGACCGTATTCTCGTCATTATTAATATTTTGCTGGAATGCCCGTTATTATTATTATTATTATTATTATTATTATTATTTTCTTTAATTTCTGGCGTTTACACATTTCTTTCCGAATCCTATCCAGGGACCTAAAGTCAGAAATGGCATCATGACACTTTCCACTGACAAAAAAATAAAAACAAACTATTTTACAGCGATAAAGCCCTTCTTAAAGTCGCGGTTGTACTTGTCAGAAAATTTTTTTGTATCTCTTTGAGACATGGACTTCCAGGAATCCCTTCACTTAGTCTACTGGTATATTTTCCAATCAATCCAAGGGTTCCAACTACAACAGGGATTGTTGATGTTCCCATATGCCACATTTTCGAGATTTCTATTTCAAGGTCCTTGTATTTTGACAGCTTTTTGAATATCTTCAAAGATACATTGCAGTCAGCAGGGACTGCTATATCAATAAGAAGGCACTTTTTTTGTTTGTGGTCTTTAATAACAATATCTGGGCGGTTGGCCTTGATTGTTCTGTCAGTGTGTATTGTGTAATCCCATAGAATTGTAACAGGTCCTATCTCCTTAACCGGGTATGGGTGGTGTTCATACCAGTTTCTTTCAGTTTTCTTCCTGTAGAAGTTGCATATTTTCCAGTGCAGATATTGGCCCACTCTGTCATGCCGGGTTTTATACTCAGTGGGTGCCAATATCGTGTAACCTGATACAAAATGATCAATTGTTTCTGGATATTTATCACAGAATCTGCATTTTGGGCTAACACTATATTTTAGTATATGTATATGTGATTGATAATTTCATGTTAACAAGAATTGGTCCTGTGCAGCAAGGATAAAACCTTCAGTTTCAGCTTTCAACCCTGCACTACGTAGCCACTTATTGGTACGGGTTTTGTCTACGTCAGCTTGTTTGGTACGGGCAGAGTATTGGCCATGAAACGGTTTAACCAGCCATTGTTTCTGTATCTGGTCTGCTGCATTTATCTTTGCTGTCTTTTTTAAGTATTTTGCAGCTTCAGCCGGTGTATTGTATTATTATTATTATTATTATTATTATTATTATTATTATTATTATTATTATTATTTCCTGTGATTTCACATTTTTCTGGCTCCTAACTAGAGACATAAGGTTAGAAATGGCATTATATATATATATATATATATATATATATATATATATATATATGTGTGTGTGTGTGTGTGTGTGTATATATATATATATATATATATATATATATATATATATATATATATATAACATAGATAAAGCCATTCCTAAGGTGTGGGCTGTACTCGTGAGAACAATTTTTTTTTTGTATTTTTTAAGGCATGGGCTTCCAGGAATCACTTCAATGAGTCTACTGAAATATTTTCCAATAAATCTAAGAGCTGCAACATTATTATTAATATTATTATTATTAATATTATTATTATTATTATTTCACAGGGTTATTATTTTTTTTTTTTCGTTTCCAACCGGCGATCTTTCAATATAAGTGTTGTATCATCGAGGTGAATGAACACATAAAAGAATGAGTGCTTAATGTATTTATTCAGCACCAGTATCCAGTGCTAAAGGATACATACAAAAACATAGAACAATAATTTACAAAACAATTAACAAGACAACTTACAAGAAATAGAGGAGGGTCAAATGCTGTATAGCCAAACGAAGTAAGATCAGTTTGAATATCAATCAGCTTAGTATCAACTTATTAATCAACTGCTGAAGTCCTTAATCGTAGACTAATTAAGGCTATGAGCCAGGCCATCTGGTAGAGTGCTGAAGAGGTGCTAGCTACTCTACAACAATAAGTGTTTTCCACCAAGGTGGACTACCTGAAAAAGATAGCACCTTTCATAAAACATTTACAGAGCATAGCAACACAAATTTCTGAAGCGATGAGATACTCGTCTTTATACCGATTTTATTTTCTTCTTTTTCTTCTTCTTTTCTTCTTCTTCTTCTTCTTCTTCTTCTTCATATTATTATAATTAATATTATAATTTTTCTTTATTCCGAATGGTTCTTCGTTTTCAACCGGAGATCTTGCATTATGAGTGTTTTCCATCAAGGCGTACTCTCCTCAAATAGATATCATCTTTCGCCAAGCAACGCGGACTCCTGAAGCGATGAGATAGCACCTTTCATGAGACATTTACAGAGCATAGCAACGCAGATTTCTGAAGCGATGGGATACTCCTCTTTATACCGAGTTCATCTTCTTCTTCTTCTTCTTCTTCTTCTTCTTATTATTATTATTATTATTATTATTATTATTATCTCTTCTTCCGCACGGTTTTTCGTTTTCAATCGGAGATCTTGCATTATGAGTGTTCTCCATCATGTCCTACTACCTCAGATAAATATCACCTTTGGCCAAGTAACGCGGACTCCTGAAGTGATGAGATAGTAGGCGTTATTCTGATTTTTATTACGTTTTCATGTCAGTCTGCGCAAATACATATTAGTTCGATTATTTTGTGATTTACCAGTAGCAGGATAATGACCGGTAGGCGGCTGGCTTTCTACCCCGAACCTGCCATACCCGACCGTCACTCATAAATTGCCCCTCCCCTCGGAGTTTCGACGGATTCACAACATTGCCAGTTTATTATTTCATTGTATGAATGAGTTGGTTGATTAGTATTATTATTAGTATTAGTAGCAGTAATAGTATTATTATATTACTTGTTGTTGTTGCAGTTGATTTATTGTTTATTGAATAGAGAAGGAAGCCATTCGAGAAATGTGATTCGATGTTGATAAGTTCCGCTAACGCGATCAGCGTTCGGGTCTCTACGCGACCGTTTCCGCACCCCCCTCTTTTTTTTTCTTCTCGTTGGTCATATGGAATTCCCAGATCGCAGAACCGGAAATTAAATTTGAAATAAATCTCCCATGATGCCCTGCAGGTTTTAAGCGGAAAAAAGTGAAAAATATCAACGTGAAAAATTGGAAATGCTGCAATTATAAGACAATCACATTTGTCATATCTCTCTCTCTCTCTCTCTCTCTTATTCTCTTTCTCTCTTATTCTCTCTCTCACACACGTTCTCTCTCTCCCATTCTGTCTCACTCTCTCTCAATTTCTCTCTCTCTCTCTCTCTCTCACTCTCGTACATATACACTTACACATATAGAGATATATGAGATTTAGACACACTTAAGAACTCGGACATACGTACACAAATACACACATACAAGGCATATCTATGCACGCATAACCAGATATATTGAGATACAGTGGGCTATAGGTTTTTAGCCACCCTTGATTACTGCAATTCTGGCTAGTGTAATAATGTATCTTCTTTTTTTTCAGACAATACCGTTTTAGTATCAAGCTACTCTCATCTATGAACGATAGTTGACTTATATTTTGCAATGAAAGTTCGTGGAAGTAAGAAAATTGGTGAATTTCAACGAAAGCAAATAATAGGATGGCATCAGAGAGGTTCTCAAATAAAGAAATTGCTAGGTTTTTTCTAAGTTAATCATCAAACGGTTAATAATATTGCCAAGAAATTTAATGAAGAACGCCATTGTCGTGTGGAACAACGTTCAGAAAGACCAAGTATCATGTCGGAGTAAACGAAATGGGCGCTGAAAAGGAAAGACATTAGAAACCGTCGTCATAGCGTCAAAAATGTCGCCAACAGTATGGAAATGTCTCCATATGTGTTGAGAAAGACTCTGAAAGAGCTAGGCTATCAAAGAATGTAGTTTTTATACTAGGGCAATGAAGTAAAAGAAATCGAGATATAGATGCCGTTTATTAAGCGTGAGAGTTTGAAGAATGACTCTTTTTATTAACAGACCAAGGGCCACATGTGAACGATTTTCTAACCTATCTTTGATCAATCCCGATCAAAATCGTTGGGTTAGTTTGGACAGGTAGCTGTGATTAATGACTTCATAATCAAGCTAACAGGACAGGGGTTTATACTCCGAAAAAGTAAGCGTTTTACCTACTAGCTAGTCCACTTCGTCGTGCGTTAAAAAAAGAGAAGTCCACTTTTAAAGGATTTACTGTCCCGATTTCAAAACTCTAGTAACAGTTACCTCGTCTCGTTGTTGAAGTACGTGGATGAAACAAAATCATTCATTCAACTGTTTTAGTCGTCCTTGATTTTTTTTTAAAGGGTCACTTTTTGATAGCACCAATCTTTATGCATACAGCAGCAGTGATCACTCAAGAAACATCTTAAACGCAACCAGATTCTTGTACATGACGAAAGGCTGCTAATCCAAAGATAATTCTATTTAACTCTAAGGATTTCCTTACTCCATGTAAATGACTTAAATTCATATATGTTGTGGAGTGGTTTCACAGTGGATAGCTTGTATTTGTACCAAGTTGGTCCTAAAATAGGTTCGACGTACAAAACGTTAGGAACTTCATATAATAGGTATGACGCAGAGAAATCTAGTTGTGGTCGCTGATACTTTAGTATCCGACTAACAGTCGTCCGGCATCGACCCACTGAGCGACTGACTCGTTACTCTTACTACTCCTACTTATTATAGGTGGGAGAGTCTATTAACTATAGAATAGGTGTGTTCCACTATAACAATATAAGTCGGGTTCTTTGCATTCACTTGCATGCAAATGTCCTTAGGAAAGGTATGAATGAATCTCCTTTCCCCCAGCTATAGCTGCACAGACTGGGATCTATAGCCTTGGTTGGCAACCACTCTAGGGTAGAAAGAAACGGCAAGATAGTAGGAGAAAACCTCTGCCTATGTATTGAAAGAAGCATGATTTACCACGTGTACATCAACTGAGTGAGCCTGGTTAAGTAAATGCCTAACATGCCTGATATAACGGCATCAATAACATGTCTATTATTTTACTGATTATGAATTAACCTCATTGATTACTCTATGTTGTAGCTATACGCTAAGAAAGGTTAAGCCTAGTGAATACATCTGGGTTTTTTATATCAAGATAGACAAGAAGCTGAGCATTTGTAATGAGAAATATCTGTATTTAGAGATTCTCTATGGGTAATCCGTCACTTAAGCGGCGTAAAATAGACTGCTATTTCCAGACCGGCGTAAAATCAAAAAGAGCAAGGTATACACGTTTATTGCAATTAAACTTTATTGCAATAGGAGCATAAAAGTTAGCAAGCTTGTCTCGCTAAATCAATTACGACTGTATGGTGAGTTCGATCCTCGCTGGTGCGCCATATTTTCGGCCTTGTGCCACAACTAAGCTATGGTTGGAAAAACACTATTGAGCACTTCGAGGCGGTGTAATGGTTAGTAAGCTTGTCTCGATAGAACAATTACGACTGAGTAGTGAGTTCGATCCTCACTGTATGCCCCATACTTTCGGCCTTGTGCCACATCTAATCTACGCTTAGAAAATCACTTTGGACACCTCGAGGTGGTGTAATGGTTAACAAGCTTATCTCGCTAGAACAATTACGACTGAGTAGTGAGTTCGATTCTCACTGGGTGCCCCCTACTTTCGGCCTTGTGCCACATTTAAGCTACGATTGGAAAGTCACTAAACGTTATTGCAACAAGTAATGATTGACTGCCCAGTAAATAAATGCTAAAAATACGGGATTTTGCGACCCCGGCAAAAGATATATCACTTGCTTTTGTGGTTATCACTTTTTAGCAAAGAATGAATCATCTCTGATACTTCGACGATGTTTTTTTGATAGACATGTAGCGTAAATGGTAGGTTGCAATGTAGGCTGTTTCATTGAGCCGTCATCGTTATACAGTTATAGGCTCCCTAGGTTGATTACCGAGCTCCATTAAGCATCAAAATATATTCCCGTGATAATAGTTCATTCGAATCGATGACTGACTGTATATAACTTGGTTTACCACGTCGCTTGGCTGAAAATATATTTTACGCCGCTTATGCGATGGGACGCCGACTTGTGAATAACTAAACAAAACCACATAATGAATATCCACAATTATGTGCATTCATCGTTATCAAAGATTATTTAATTTTTAAAAGATGTTATTTTGATGTCAGAGAAAAAAAAACTATTTAGAATGAAAAAAATATATATAGATGGAACAAGATCAGATAACTACGTTGCTTCAAAAGAGTAAGAGACATTGGAAAGAAGATAAGAAATAGGAAGCAAAAGCTCGTCGTGGAAATAATTAGCTGTATTCAGAGCAATCTGATAACGATATTGGTTAAAGAAAGTGTTGGAAGCAAGCGTCTACCTTCAAATGTCTAGAACACCTCAGAATGGAATCACTTAACGAAAATAGAAAAATGAAGGCACGCTGAAAATAAACAAAGTAAAATATTGGTTTGGTTTATTTAGTTTTACGGCATATCAACCTCAATGGGTTATTTAATGCCGACAACATTTTTAGGATAGATTTGTATGAATAGAATATGTATTCTTTGGTTTAGATTGGTTTGGTTTATTTTGTTTTACGGCATATCAATCTTAATGGGTTATTTAATGCCGACAACATTTTAAGGATAGATTTGTATGAATAAAAAAAAAATCTTTATTGCTGGTAATATTTTGTTTTTTCAAAAATCTGTTTCTGGCAATATACCTCCTTCTAAACTGTATGGCCGACAACAATTTTCCTCAAAAAAAGCATTGCTGGTAATAGTTAACTATTTACTCATAGCTGTGGCCCCCAACAGGTGCTACCACCCCAGGTCAGGGTGGAGCTGGGAACACCAGCAATCAAGAGGCGGCTCCACGCTCTCCAAAACCTCCCAATCAGAGGCCCCGCTGCTGGACGCAGCTCAACGTCCTAGCCAGAGCGCGTATGCAGTTTAACCTCTTACCCAGGATGCTGATGTAGTTTAAAGTCTTACCCAGGACGAGTGAGATATACAATATAATCCTGTGGCCTGAACCTTAAGCTGACAGGTGGCATGACAGGGCCCTCGCTACTCACATCACCAAGGACTGTTACAGACAACGTGTGTAATCTTGTTCGCTAGATCCTTTGAAGAAACTGGCTATTTACGAGTTTTTCTCCTTCTATCTGTTGTGTCCCTTCAAGAAGTGGTCGATCATAGCTCTCCACAATTTCCTTCTCCTTTGCAGCGTTTAATAAACTTTGTCTCTTCGTTATGTCTCCTAATCCCTGTTCTTACATTTATCTAGGTTACTCGCAGCTTTCTTCCGCCCCAATTGAGTTCAGTATATCCAGTTAGTATCAATTTTTTTAAAGCCATCAATCCTCATTATGTTCCCTAGAAATTTCAACTGTTTCTTTCTGATCTTAATTCGTTATTGCTGATATTTTCAGTCCATAGCAGCTCAGCATACTTCGGAAGAACCACATTTCTGTTGCTTCAAATCACTTCTTCATCCGTGATGAGATTGTACAGCATTTACTGCTGTATACATGTTGCAACCTAGGGAAGGTTACTGAATAGATTAATCAAACAAAGGTTGGTAATGAACGATAATATTTAGGACAAGAACAACACATATAAGATTCAACAGTGGTGCGTAGAAGTAGTAGTCAACTGCTAGAAGGAAGTAAAGTGAATTCCACAATGAATCTCCAAAATGCATGATATCTTCCAACCTCCTCACACGGTCAGATATAGCACAAGGCCGAATTTAATGTGGCGTATCCGATCCCGTAGGATCGGCAAAAATTTCTCGTAGACCCCGTATAAAATTGGGTCGGGTAGCTGTTTCCCGAGACGAGACGCTGCCCTTCGACATAACCTTGCCTGAGGATCATCTCTGCCCGGAGGCAGAGACTTTGACTAGTACAGCTGGAGACGAATCTTCAACTGCAGACCAACATACAGCATTTACTACTGTATTTTTGTAAATGAGGGCATTGAAACCAGGACAGTTACGTTATCAGGACAGTTACGTTATTAGGCAAATGTTATACCAACTTTTCCAACGTGCCTCGATGAGGAAGAGGTAGAGAATCAGACTCGATATAGCGCCGCTCGTTTGCCTGATAACGTAACTGTCCGGGTTTCAATTCTTGGTAGTGGATACGCACTGCTGATGAGACCCAAATATAGGACGAAACGGCCGTTCAGTGCTTTCTGCATTTTAAGATTTCTTCTCGACTCGATGAATTACTTAAATATAATTATCTCAAATCCTTCTAATTTCTGTCATATATATATATATATATATATATATGTGTGTGTGTGTGTGTGTGTGTGTGTGTGTAAAAAGAAATAAATATATGTATGCGTCCTTGCTTTTTCCTAACCGATCTTCTAAAATCACAGTGTGGGATACCTACTAACAAGAGTGATAGAAAGAAAAATAAAAAATACTCTACATGAATTCGTATACATAAAAAAATCTAAAATACCCAGCACCCCTCGTTCGTGCGCATGTGTAGTACGCACATGACCTATTTAGTCCGATGAAGTCCCGAAAGAGGGAACACGTCACAATTAATCTTTTTCTCCAATACTGTTCTTGATATATAAACATCGTTATCTCACATATCTATCTATCTATCTATCTATCTATCTATATCTATATCTATATATCTATATATATATATATATATATTTGTGTGTGTGTGTGTGTGTATTAGTTGTAAGATTATACTTAAGAAAGACCTCGATATCGTGTATATCAATGTATTTCGCTGTTTTGGCATGGAAGTCAATTTCTATAACATTCGATCATATCTCGATTAAAAGTTATAAACTAAACCGCTCTGTCCTGAGTAAGACGACAGACTATATCCGCGTCCTGGGTAAGACGATACATCTAACAGCAAGTCCTCTGCTAGCGCCTGTTAGGGTCCCAGCTATGAGCAAATGGTTTACCCCAAAATCACGTTCAAAACACTGAGAAAGTGGAAAAATGGATTTTACTACCTTCCATACATGTTTGTAAAAAATTATTGGCAGCAATGAATTTTTGAAGAAAATAATTACAATCATGAATATATTTTTAGAAAAAAATATTAACAGCAATATATTTTTGTAAAAAATACTTCCAGCAATAAAAAACTTGTCGACATTAATAACACATTAAGTTCGATATGCCGTAAAATAAATCAAACCAAACCAAACCAGCAATAAAAATCTTGTCGGCATTAATAACACATTGAAGTTGATATGCCGTAAAACAAATCTAACCAAACCAAATCAGGAATGAGAATCTTGTCGGGTTTAAATAATCATTGAGGTAGATATGCCGTAAAACAAATCAAACCAAACCAAAACAGCAATACAAAATCTTGTCGGCATGAAATAAGCCACTGAAGTTGATATGCCGTAAAATAAATCAAACCAAACCAGCAATTTTGTCTACATTAAATAACCCATTGATGTTGATAGGCCGTAAAATAAATCTAACCAAATCAAACCAGTAATAAAAATCTTATCGACATTAAATAACACATTGAGGTTGATATGCCGTAAAACAAATCAAACTAAACCAAACCAAACCAGCAAAAAAATCTTGACGGCATTAAATAACCAATTGAGTTTGATACGCCATAAAACAAAACAAAGCAAACCAAACCAGCAATAAACATCTTGCTGGCAATAAATAACCCATTGAGGTTGATATGCCGTAAAACAAATCAAACCAAAACCAGACTAAACTGCTAATTCACAAGCAGGTTGCTGATCCATGGAACACAATATTTTTCTTCTTTTTTTTATCTTTCCCTGGCAGTTTATGTTGTTAGATTCGCTTTAAAAGAAACATTTTTATGTTTTTGGTCACATATGTAACCTGGTAAATATGGTTTAGCTTTTATGTTATTTCGGCTGTGTTAGAACTGAAGTAAACGCATTATTAATTTTTGAAAATGATGTTTTATTCACCATGAAATATCTGCTGAAAAATCAGGGTTGTAGGTAAGGAATACCAGTCACGTGTTAGCTTCCTCTTACTTGCCAGTACACATCACTAACACAACAATGTATAATGCAAGAGAATCAATGGCCCTCTGTGAATTTCGACATAAAGACAGAAACATTGGAAAAAGGTGAAGTACATGTAAGGCGCCTAGAATGCGCATACAAAAGCCAACATTTTCAAAGTCCCAGAATTCCCTGTTCAAGATGGCCACCGCCGAAGTGAACAAAAGAATTGCTTGAGGGGGCTTGTGTTTCTTGTTAAAATCAATGACCTAGATTTCAAAAGCTTTGAGAATAATATGAAATGCAGATGTGTGGTCTGTAGGCAATTTTCTTTTCAATTTTAGGTTTTAGTTTTTGACTCCATTTTTACTTTAATATTCGTTTCTTCTTGACGCTATGCATTGTGCATGCGTGTTGCTCTTCCTGTCAACTTTAGCTTCAGCGTTTAATATAAAGAACATGTAAAATTCCTATAAGAGGCTTGTTAATATTTGCCTTCTATTTTATATTGTTTTCACTTTTCCGCCTTTATGTAATTTTATATATTGATCTAATCTTCTAACATTTTTTTCCTTTCCTTTTTTTCTTTCAATTTTATTTATATTTCATTATACTGTAACGGTTCTCCGTTTTTCTAAAAAATTCGTTTTTTACCCTTGATTATGTTAGCTTCTTATGTATTTCTATTTTATTTGATTATTTTATCAACTTCTTTTTGCTTTTAATTTTGACATCTTTCTCGCGTTTATTTTCTTTCTTTTTTGCCTTCTTCATTTTACTTTGTCATTGTTTGGAAGATATTTTTTTCTTCCTTTTTTTTTTCGTTCGATATTTTTCTTTTCTCTTACAGTGGTTTTCTTTTTTAATCTCTGATTTTTTTTTTATTTTACTTTCACTGAGACATAATTTTCCTTTCTTCAATTTATCTTTCAATTTGGCTTTTTCTATATCTCTTCATTTTCTTTCCCTAAATTACCCTTTTTCCTTTTCCAGAAACATCTATCTATCTATCTATCTATCTATCTATCTATCTATCTATCTATCTATCACTTATAAATTTTCCTTTTGACCTTTCTATGATTCTTTCTATCTTTCTCTCGCCCTTTGTTTGTTTCAACCTTTCTCTCGACCTTTTTTTTGTTTATTTCAACGTTTCTTTCACTTTTTTCTACCTCTCGCTCTTTCTTCTTTTCTCTCGCCCTTTCTTTCTTTCTTTCTTTCTTTCTTTCACACCCGCCACTTCTTTGTTCATTTCGACATTTCTCACCCTTTTTTTTTTCTTTCGCAATTACTTGTTTATTTCGATCTTTCTGTCGCCCTTTCATTCTCTTGCCCTTTATTTATTTCTCTGGCCCTTTCTTTTTTCGACCTTTCTCTCGTTCTTTCTTTTGACCTTTCTTTTTTTAATCTCGCCCTTTCTTTGTTCCTTTCGACCATTCCCTCATCTTTTCTTTCTCTCGACCTCCCGCTTTCATCTACCACACTTTTAAGCTCTCTCTTTATATTTCATGCTTGTCTTCTCTTTATCTTTCTGTTTTCACTCCCCGTTGCCCTGTATGTTTCTAAATATTCTTCCCCTCTCATCATGTCTTATATCATTTCTTCTTCTTCTTCTTCTTCTTCTTCTTCTTCTTCTTCTTCTTCTTCTTCTCATCTCTGTTCCTCATCCACAGCAATTCTATCTTTGTATCTTTCTTTCTATTGAAGTAAAATGATGACTTTCTTTTCTATTTTCCTCAACACATTTATTTCTTTTCCTTTTCTTTCTTTCTTTCCTTTTTCTTCCTTTCTTTGCCTTTTCTTTCTTTCTCTGTCTTTTTTCTTTCTTTCTTAGCCTTTTTCTTTCTTCCTTTCTTTCTTTCATTTTTCTTTGCCTTTTCTTTGCTTTTTCTTTGCTTTTTTTTCTCTTTACCTTTTTCTTTCTTTCTTTTTCTTTCTTTCTTTCTTTCTTTCTTTCTTTCTTCCTCTTCCTCTTCTTCTTCTTCTTCTTCTTCTTCTTCTCCTACTACTACTATTTCTTCTTTTTCTTTCTATCTTTACCCTTCTTCTTCTTCTTCTTCTTCTTCTTCTTCTCCTCCTCTCACTACTTTGACTCAGATTAAGATATTACTGTACACTGAAAATGGTGCGAAAATTATTCACTTCTAGAAGCTCTGATACCTTGAAAATCAGCATTCGAAATCGGGATATTTACCTGAGTTCGAGCATCTGTCTCTGGTACCGACAAGAAAAATGCAACTACTTCATATGGTAGACAAACCCCCTCCTTGTCCGCTTTCTACTGATACTAACTTAACAATCCCGTGAGATTTCCATAATTTAAGTTCTAACGTTCAAAACTTCCGACTGATTTTGTCTCTTTACGCTTTCAAAATAACGATTCGATTCCCAAAAGCTTTCATTCAATTTCGTTGCTCTTCCGTCCTTGTCGTCATTTCCCGCCAAATTGCTAACGCTTTTGTTTTTCTCGCCTCATTTCTACTGTGTTTTCTTTTCATTTATCTTTCCTTGTTCTTCTTCCTCGTCTCTGTACCCAGCTGTATTTAAGAACGACAGACTTTGGCTATGTTTCTCTAAATTCCATCGTATATATTTGTATATAAGTCGATTTCCAATATATAATCTCGTGTAATTTGATTTTCAAACTGTTCCATATGCTTTGATCTTTCCACACTGACTCACAAATAATGCTGCTTAAAAAGAGTAGCGGCAATTTTAGCTTTCAGTTCGTCATCTTTATTGAGAGTTTTGTTCAAGTCTCTAATTCATGCCTTGTGTACAGGACGACGTCGCATTATTAAGGATATTTTAAAAAATAAGTGACGCTAAAACCAATGAAGTTGTCTGGCATCAAACTAAATCCCATTTCACATAAGTTTATCCTCGTCTTCTAACATATCTCAACGACGCGTTGGAATAGTAAAATATGCCTTCCAGAAAATGAGCAACGTATTAATACACAGAAAAATGTCCGTAGAAAAAAGAAAAGTACTGAACTGCTATGTCATAACAATACATGCAGGATAATTTTCTCCCAAAGAAAATTTCGCTCACTGGTTACAAATCAAATATAAACATATTTTATTTTTTATATGTTTATATTTGATTTGTAACCTGTAGTCGATATTAAATTTGTCAAATTTTCTCAATTACAAAGCGGCCCTTTAAGCAAACGCAATTTTACCTTCCTTCGCCCCATCTCTTTCCCCCACCTCGTCTTTCCCTCCCTCTTATTCTAACATTAGATTGTCTATGGTGTGTGTATGTCACCACGAAATGTATCTTTACGCATTAGACATCCGTCAACATTCATTCTTTTCTCTTATTTAAACCCATTCCACCCACCTCTGCTAAAATTCTCTCTGTTAAGGTTTAATCTCCCTCCTCCTCATACTTACACTCTCTCTAAATTCTGTTTTTATTTCCGGAGTGTTTTTTTTTCTGTTTTCCTTTTGAATTTGTAGGTCTGATGAATTGGATCGTATTTACGATTCCAATGGAATAAATTATGACCATGGAATATTAGTGTTTAAGCCTTTTTATTATATCCTTACTCTGTCCTAGACATTGAGTTTTACCTGGATTCTTCCTCTTGGAATTATTTTTTTCTAAAAATATACATGTATGGTTATTTATATATTTTGCATATGTATGTATATTTTCCACTAATATTATATATATATATATATATATATATATATATATATATATAACTCTATACTGATACTTATTATTAACACCCAACACTCGCCTACCCAATTTAAACAATTTGCCCTAGCTGTTACCATGGAAATTTTGATTTCAATTTTTAAAACACGTAAATTTCAGATATACGTTACTCCAAAAAAAATTTCGCTAGAAGATGGAACAGAGCTTATTTTAACTCAATTGTGCAAATTAATTGAAACAAAACGAATAATTCCGTTATTATTTACTTTTTTTTCTATTTTCCCAATAAAACCTGACCCAGTGTACATGTGAGTATATTGTATGTCCATTCCACGAAGTCTTTCCTTAAAGATTGATCACAGATTCTCGATTGGACCAGTCTATAGTACTTTGATTTCCTCACTAGTAAAACTTGCCTATGCGTTAGTGCAGCGTTACAATTTTCGTATACTTCTTTGGAGTAACGTCAATTGCAGACAATGGACGTTGGACAACTAATCAACAGTCGCGACAATAGTGATTGTGCATTATGAAAATCTGATGCAATCACGGATGACGCAATATTTTAAAGGCCAAACAAATTGCATTATACACCCCGAAAATAGGTTCATATTACTGAACACCACTGCAAATGACATAATCTCAGGAAAAAATAGAAATCGATTACACCCTGTCACTCCAGTGGGTCTAAAACTGACAGTATGTTGAAAGAAACGAAGCTAAAGCATTTGTTTCAATTAATTTGCACAAGGGTGTAGATAAAAATACTGGTACTTCTGCTATGATTACTTTGAATACAGGCTCTTTAGCGCTAGAGGGCGTGGTCATTGATGTTCTGAATGGGATTATTGCGCAGTTTGGGGTCTTTCAAACATCATACCCCCCTCACTAAATCGACCCCCATTAGTGCTGATCAGTCTCCGATGCGCCCCCCATCTAAATTAACAGCCTGCAGACACTGACTTATATTATAGGCAAACCATACCCCTCTGTCAATCATTTGATTGGAAGTTAACCAACAACCAATCGCAATGGTGTTAGATCTATTTAAGTTGTTTACGGCGGATTTTTTATTATTTTTTATGTGGATACTCGAAAGGTAATTATGGGGTTTCCGGTTTTTTTTCTTCGTTTTTAAACTAAAACAAATGGTGCCAACATTGCAGTCAGCCTTGAATGGGTTCCCCAGTTAAATCAATCAACAATCTTTTCAGTCAATATCCCAGTTCACCGATCTGTGTCAGGTATACAAAATACTGAATAGTTACTTTGAATACACGTTCTTTGGCGCTAGAGGGCCTCGTCAGTGATGTTCTGAATAGAATCATTGGACAGTTTTGGGTCTTTCAAACATCATACTCCTCCTCACCAAATCGACCCCCCCATCAGAGCTGATGATGTGCCCCCATGCTAAATTAACAGCCTGCAGACACTGACTTATATTACAGGCAAACCCTATCCCTCTGTCACGCAGTTGATTGGAAGTTGACCAACAACCAATCGCAATGGTGTGAGATCTATTTAAGTTGTTTACGGGGGATTTTTTACTTTTTCTTTTTTTATGTGGATACTCGTCGGATACTCGGAAGGTAATTATGGGTTTACCGTTTTTTGGGGGTTATTTTTTTCCTTTTTACATTTTTTTTCCTTTTTTGCAAGTGTCATCTCCTCAATTGATAATTACTGTTAGTAAAGAAAAAAAAAAGAAAAAAAGAAAACAATAAAATAGAATAAGAAATAAAAAAAGATTAACCTTAAAATAATTAGAAATTTACATTGTTTTTACGATTAAAATAAATAAATTACGACGTATGCAGCGTGTTAAAACGAAAATAAATATACAAATAAATGTCGTTTAAAACAATCTGAACGAGTTGACTTAGAAATTCCGCTTAAATCTGTCGATTAATGTGGTAAGATTAACGAGTGAGATTAACAAATAAAATTAAATTTACGATTTTTATCGTTAGGCGAAAAAAAAAAAGAAAAAGGCGGAAAGAAGTATGAATAATGCTGCTATGCAAAACGTTTAACAAGAATTAGTCACAAATAATTATTAATTCACATATAGTCCCATAGTTATTTATTTATTTAGACTCTTGATAAAAAATACAAAGAAATATCTGCAATATTCTGACCTGGCACATCGGCTTCAGTAACTTTACTGCAACCGTAATGTAATTTTCCTATGCCTTTTTTTTATAAATATTTTCATGGTAAATTTTCTGATGAGCTTTCGCTAGACTTTATGAATGCAAGCGGAGTACTAGATTGGTGACAAGTTCTCATCAGATTACAGTTGAAATGGCTAGATGTATCTGTAGTTCTATACTAACAGTTTTTTTTATCTCTCACAATTATCTTCCGGCTTCTTGTTTTCCGTCAATTTTCATCATCAAAAAATTAAAAGCAATGTCAATTGTCATCATCTGACTCCTTAATTCTTGTTCATTTTTTGTTCTTTCTTCTTAATAATAATAATGTTTTATTTTTCTCATCTTCTTTCGCACTCAGAAAAAACATTGCATCTTGGTGGCATTATTGCCTTGTTTGAGGTGACATTATTAAAAAACGATTTATTTTAATTTTTATTGGTTCCGGAACTAATGCCGTCATCAAAAGATAGTGTCACCACACATATAATTTCTGAGCAAATATTTTATAATATACTTTGCAGAATATCTTTATACAGAAGCGGACAAATTTCGCAAATATACAGGCTGCTTTGTTTTGTTTTAAATAATGAAAAATAAAAAAAGGTCAAGTGCTTAGGTTGGTGCTTTTGGGAAATCTTTTAGTTAAATGTCAATTTTTTTCTATA